TTCAATAGTTACCTGTTGAAAGAATGGGGCCAGTTTCCAACCCTCCATACCATTGTGGCACCACCCACCAGCCTGGGTTATAGCCAAATGGGTGAAGTGCATTTAGAGCTCTGGGCACCTTGTTATCAATTAGTGAGAGCCTGGTGCTGTGCATTTGACCCCTGACACCATAAGCAGCCTACCTGGGCCACGACCAGATGCCACTGTCCCTCCACAAAGCCAGGAGCAACCACTGGCATCAGCAAGGATCATGCTCCAGAGTGAGAGGATGGACAGCTGTCTGGTGGAAGGCAGATAGGAGCCTACCAACCCGGGTCCTACTCCTGGCAGATCAACTCCAGAAAGAGGGCAACGTTTGCCCTACAGATGGGGGGAGAGGGGACTGAAACAAAAATATGAAATGCTCTGTGATTGCTGTGTGTGGGTTAGGTGAACATTATTCCCCTTCTGCGTGTAAATGTTTTGGGCTTTTTTGGTGAGCTAAAATTCACATAGCATAAAATTAATCATTTTAAAGTGAACAATTCCACATTTAAATAAAACCATGACATTCAGTGAATTCACAATGCTGTCCACCCACTATCTACTTTCCAAAACATTCTTATCACCCCGAAAGGAAACTCATACCCATTAGCGATCACCCCCAGCCTTCCTCTCCCCCCAGTCTCTGGCAATCACCAATCTTGTCTCTGTCTCTAAGGACTGACCTGACCTATTCTGGATGTGTTATATACACACATGGCCCTTTGTGACCGGCTGCTTTCATTTAGCATAATGTTTTCAGGCTTGTCACATTGTAGTGTATGTCAGTGTTGAATTTCTTTTATGACTGAGCAATATTCCACGGTACGGACACCCATGTTTCAACTTATTGGTCCACTTGCCCATCAGTGGGGTTTGGGTTCTTCCCACCTGTGGCTGTTGTGCAGAGTGCTACAGGTGTTAATTTTATGTTTGCATAGATATGAAGACAAAGTTGCAGCTGGGTCCCACAGAGACACTACCGTCTCTGGGCACACATAAGGAGGAGGAGCAGGGATGTCCTGGATCCCCTTACTCCCTTATCTTGCCAATAGCATCTTTCCTCATTTATTTGACACAATGGCCTGCTGCACTGTATGACATTTCAACAAAGGGGTACCCTCCCTTAAAAGGATGCCTGAAACCCTACTTCTCTCCATCTCTCTTTGTCAGTCAAGGAAGCTGAAACTTTAAGAACAGTGATGTGCCCAAGGTCAACTGATTCTTTAGTGGCAGAGGTGAGACTGATTTTCTGATTATTTCTTGATCTCTGACTTGATATCAGAGATGTCTCCATAAGTTATACCATTTGCACCCTGCTTTAGTGGCTCTGTTCAGCTCCCTTTCCCTAACCAAGACTACTGGGCTAGTCTACAGATGGCCCCAAGACAATTCACATGGATTTTCTGGGAATCCAGATAAGAAACCTAAACCTCACAACAACTGCATGTATGCATCAAATGCCACTGCCCTTTTATTAGTCATAACAATGAAGTCATAACAATGAAAACACAAGTCCCGGCCTGGACAATGTAAGTTTCAAGGTGGGTTCCATCCATTCAATGAGTAGTTTGTGGTTAGAGTTCTTCCACTTATGGCCAGTATGGGAGGCGTTGAGGGACCCATTCATCAGAGGTATCCAAATAGAGATTGAAGAACCATCTGCCAGGTATGCTGTGTTGAAGGAAGGGGAGGGGATTTTGCCTGGGCCCCCTCTAAGGAGAGTATTATTATAATTCACATTTTGCAAAAGAGGAAAGTGAGGCACAAAAGTTAAGTGTCTTGCCCAAGGAACATGGAAGAACCAGGATTCAAATCTTTCCACTTCCACAGTCTGCATTCTTCCCTGATAGTTGCTTTTCCTCCACAAACCAAGATTATAATTTTTCCCACACTGTTTTCAAATTTGCTTTTTTATTTAACAAATATATATCATGAACATTTTTCCATATATTTGAATATTCTTCAACAGTATAATTTTTAAAGCTGTATAGCATTTGATTATATAGATATAGTATAATTTATTTTACCAAGCCTCTATTCTTCAACATTCAGGTTGTTTCCAATTTTTCAACTGTTATAAATATTGCTGCGAGAAACATCCCAGTAGATAAATCTTTTTGCTTCTCTGTGGTTATTTCCTTCATGTAAAATCTCAAAAGCAAAGTTGCTGGGTCAGAGACATACCATTTTAAAGCTGCGCACATATTTACAAGGCTTACTGTGAATTCTTATGATCAAAACCATTCGTAAAACCTGTGTGAATTACTGTATCAAACTAGCATTTACTGAACCTGATGTAGTGATAAATTAGGCTTCTGTTTGCATTTGAATTCTGGAAGTGAATGGAGGCAGAAATGATTAGAAAAATATACCTGTGACTAGAAAACAAGAATGTTAATATAAGCCCAATTATTCTTCTTGCTGGCTTGAGCTGATGAATAAGATAATGATGATGGCAGTGACGATGATGGTGATGATGGTGATGGTGATGATGATGGTGGTGAGGGTGATGATGGTGGAGGTGATGGTGGTGATGATGATGGTGGTGAGGGTGATGATGGTGGTGATGATGGTGATAATGATGATGATGGTGACAATAGTGGTGATATTAATAAAACCATTTCAGGAGGTTTTAGCAAATGCCACCTATTTATACTCAAAGCTTTATATATGTGTGTCTCATTTAATCCTCTCAGAAAACCTATGGGGTCCAGGACCATCACCTTTGGCAGATTGCTAATTATATCCCAGCATCTATTTCCTCCTTTTTCTTTTAGCAGTAGAACTCTGCTGTGGTATTGTGATTTATAATAAGAAACATATACTTGGTCTTCATCCCAGTTCCTGGCCCAGAGCTCTTAAAACCCCAGGAATTTCCTAAGTGATGAATGATAAAGGTGTCTTTTGTTATGTTAATGAGGTGGCTTTTGGAAAAGTTCCTAGGTTATCAAAAGATGCTAAGGGAACCAACCATGAGTGGGAAGTTGAAACTTTCCTTCCTACCCCTGCCCTCCTGGGAGGGGAGAGGGGCTACAGGTTGAACTGAACATCAGTGGCCAACAATTGAATCAATCATGCTTATGTCATGAGGCCTCCATAAAAAACCCAAAGTGTTGAGGTTTGGAGAGCTTCCAGGCTGATAAACACATCTGCGTGCCGGGAGGGTGGCACATCTTAGTTCCCCGAGGACAGAAGCTCCTGCTTTGGGGACCCTTTTGGACCTCTGCCCCAAATAGTTTGCCATTTGGCTGTTCATCTGTATCCTTTATAATATTCTCTGTAATAAACTAATAAATGTAAGCAAATGTTTCTCTGAGTTATTTGAGGCACTGTAGAACATTAACCCTTGAGGAAGGGGTCATGGGACCTCTGATTTATAGCCAGTGGGTCAGAGGCACAGGTGACACTCTGGACATGCAACTGGCATGTGAAGTGGGGGACAGTCTCGTGGGACAGAGGCCGTTGCCCATGGGGTCTGGTGCTATCTCCAGGGAGTGCAGAACAGAACCAAACTGTAGGACATTCAGCATGTGTGGCATCACCTGTGCTTCTGACTGACTGGGGATTATTGAGAAGTGTGAAGAAGAACCCCGGTCTCCAAATGAGCCCTTAGAACAGAGCTACCTACCTGAGAATGGTTGTATGAGAAAAAAGGGAACATTTGTCTTGTTGAAATCATTGCGGGTTTGGATCTTCTTGTTAGAGCAGCTGACCTTATTTTATATTTTTAAATTTTTTTTTAATGTTATTTATTTTGGGAGAGAGCGCCAGACAGAGAAGCAGAGAGAATCCCAAGCAGGCTCTGTGCTGTCAGTGCAGAGCCTGATGCAGGGCTCAATCTCATGAACCATGAGATCATGACTTGAGCAGAAATCAAGAGTCGGACGCTTAACCGACTGAGCTGTTGAGGCGCCCCTAGCTGAACCTATCTTAAAGATGAAATAACCAGGACTTGGCAAAGAACCCATAGCTAATAAGATGCGGGACAGGGATTAAATCCAAATAGCCAGACTCCAGAATTTGCCCTCTCGGGATTTCCTCAAACTAGTGCCCTAAACCTACTGATGACAATGAGTCACCCCTGAGAGACAAATCCATAAAAGGGCTGGCCAAACTGTAATGCTTCTGGAACAGTTACCCTGGAAATATCAATGAGGCCTCCTTGGAGAAGAAAACCAGGGACAGATGGTTTGACAGAAAAAGAAAAAAAAAAAAAAAGGATAAGGCTTGAAGTTCTGGTGCCACAACCTCCTGGGGACATTACCGGGCTCCTCAGAACATCATCAGTTTTCCCTTCTTTAAACAGGTGACAAGAATGCCTACGTTTCAAAACTCGGAGAAGATTAAGATATGATAGGTAAGGATTTAATGCCAAACCCGACCTGGAGAAATACGTCTTAAATGACGTCTTCTTTTCATGAGTGTTCCTTTTCCATCAAACCACGGGGCTCCCCCTGAAAACTCCCCCTGAGAGAAGCACAGCCCCCGGCACCTGCTGAGGGCGGGTCTCCGAGGCTGGAGCCTGGGGGTCACCCCAGCTTGCACAGGCGGGGAGCCTCATGTCTGGGCCCTGCCGCACTCACCAAGTGCAGGGTCTGAGCTGGCCTGAAAACACCGCGGGCTCCCAGCAGCTGGGGTCCCAGAGCTGCCGCCTCATGACCATCCTCTGGCCGCTGACAGCCGGAGACGGGCAGATCTCAGGAGCCAGAGATGTGGGAGTCTGCCTGCAGCTTTCACTCTCCAAGACAAGCTCGGCCTCCTTTGAGATCCCACCTCCTCCTGCCAGCGCAGTCAAGGCCCTGCCGGCCTCATCAAGGGGTCTGAGGCCCTCAAGACACTCAGAGGCACTCAGGGAATGAGATGTAGAGAAACGAGAGGTGAGGGGGAGGAGAGAAGGCCAAGGGAAGAGGCCATCCTGTTCCCCGATCACTATTTATTATCCAGTGTGAAACAGGAAAATTAAAATGTGCGGCCGCTAGCAGCTTAATTTAATTGAACGCTGAGGAAAAATGAAACTCGGGACAGGGACAGTTAAGGAACAATTTTAAAGATGACTGAGTGGCAGGAGTTATCTTGAACTCCCATGGGAAGGAGCTGTTCATCTGTGTGAAATCGATGCTCGCGGGCAACCTGGGTGCAGGGAAGGCGCTGAGGCCCGGGGAGTGAGGGGGCAGGTGAAGCTGGTCCATCGTCTCTTGCAAGCAGCTCTCAGGATGCGTAGGAGGGAAACCAGACTTCGGCAAGCTCAAAGGCATGTTCCCAGGAAGGGCAGAATGTTCCCGAGGGCAGGGACAGACGCCAGGAAGTTCTGTTGTGCAGAGCCAACCCGGAGTCAGCTGGCCTGCAGGAGCGACGATAAGGCTGTGGGCGCGGGGGGCAGCGGGTGTGGGTGCGGCCGGGCCAGCCGGCTCATCACAGGTCTGCAGAATTGTTTGAGACCCGGAAAAGAAAAAACAAATGGCTCCAAATGGACAAAGAAAAGTGTAAAGTTGGTATTAATAGTACTTCCAAAGCCAAATTAGGATTCTTCCCCCAGGAAATGTGCAAAGCGAAATGTGGTACTGATGGACGGGAGCTGGGGCGGGGGCAGCGTGGGCCCCGGGGGAGAGACGCAGCTCCTGGACGTGGTGGCCGTAAGCGCACACGTGGTGAATCACGTCAGCCTCTCTGGTGCCCCCTTGTCCTCACCTGCAGGATGGGAATGACGAAAACCGCAGGCTATGCTGGGGCTGAGCTGGCCGAGGTTCTGCTTCCGCGTGCGTGCCCGGCGCGGTTGTTGTCAGATGGAAACCCTGGTTTTGGCCCCGGGGATTCCAGAGCCCTTCAGAACTGGCCCCCCTGCACCCACCTCCCCCCGGGGGACTGCCCGGCTCACCTCTGATCTCCTCTGAGGAGTCTCCTGGAAATGATGGCCTTCGATGGTTGGGGCACCACATCCCCGAAAACCTACTTGCAGAACAGATGACGAGCCAACGTGAGGCTTAGTGAGACTCTCCTGTCCTTCGGCGGCCAGGGCATAAGAGGGGCCGCGCTCCAGACACGGGCTGCTTCAGGCGTTACTTCGTTCCACGAGGAGACAGAGCCCAGGAAACAGCTACAAAAGGGCCACCAGAAGGCAGAAAAGGCAGTCTCCCCGCCCCTGGCAAACCGTGCAGGGCTAGCTGGTCAGGGTGGAGCTGGGGTTGCAGGGCCCAGACCCGGGGCAGCTCCTGACGGACGGCACACTTCCGCCCGGGACATCGGCAGCAGGAGGGACGTTCAGAAGTTTGAATCTGTTCCTGTGTTTCCTCCATTGGCCCCTTGGGGGGTTTCCATTTCACCTGGAATGAAAACCGAAGGCTTCTGATGCCGCCCTGCTGTGGGAAGGGGGCCTTGTCCCCACCCTCTGTCCTCTGCTCACCAAGAAGGCTTCCCTGCTGGCCCTTTGGCCCTGCCTCAGGACCTTTGCACATACACTCCCTTCCACTTGGAACTGTCTTCCCACAGGACTGTCCCTTTACCCTCTTCAGGTTTTGCTCAGAAGCCCCCTTTACTGGGAAGCCTTCCCTGATAGACACATTTTGAATCTCAACTTCCCCGACCTCAGCTCCTCACCCCTGATTTTTACTTTCCTTTATAGAAGCACTTTTAAAACAGATGGTATATTTTAGTTATTTATTCTATTATTGTCTGCCTCCCTGACAGAATGTAAGCTCCGTGAGGGCAAAAGTTTTTCTCTTTCTCTCTCTCTCTTTTTATTTGTTTGTTTGTTTATTTATTGTTTATTTAATGTTTGTTCATTTTGAGAGACAGAGAGAGACAGCACGAGTTGGGGAGGGGCAGAGAGAGCAGGGGACACAGAATCCGAAGCAGGCTCCAGGCTCTCAGCGCAAAGCCTGACGCGGGGCTCGAACCCACGAACTGTGAGATCATGGCCTGAGCTGAAGTCGGATGCTTAACTGACTGAGCCTCCCAGGCGCCCCTCTCTCTCTCTCTCTCTCTTTCTCTCTTTTTAAACTTTTATTTTCCCAGAATTTAGGACAGTGCATGGCATATGGTGGTTAATACATACCAGTCGAATGAATAAACACCCTTGAACTTTTGTCCCCAAGACAAATCCTGTTCTTCTAAACACATTGGCAACGAGCGTTCCCCACCTCTGTGGAGAAGGGCCGTGTTTGGTCATCAAGACCATCTCTGTGGGTCAGGAATTCCCGCCCAGGAAGGCATCCTTGGAATGTCAGAGAGAGTAGAGCCAGCCAGGTTGGGGGGGAGGGTGGGTGGCAGGGCTCCCATGGAAAAGGCCCTCGAACTCCAGCCTGGGGTAGACAGGGCACACAGTGGTGCGGGCTTGTGCAGGAAGGAATCTTACCGTCACTGAAGACAAATGTGCCCAAGCAGGATGGGTCCTCAGGTCCCTGTTCCCATATGGTCCGGAGCTCCTTGGCCACACCGGGCAGGGAACAAACTCAGGACAGGCTGTGCGGGTGGGGAGCCCCGGGACCCCCAGCTGAGGGGGGTGAGCAGGGACTCCACTGGACAGCTGCCCACAAGCCCAGGCAGGGGTGGGACAAGCTCAGGGGGCTGCCTGAGCTGGGACCCAGGGAGTTGATTTGACACAGGGTGGACGGCGGCCAGTAGGGGACAGAGGGATTCTAGAGAAATGCATGCGGCCACCCAGTCCAGAGGGTTAAACACAGGGCAATGCCAGAAAACCAAAGGTCCCATCAGGGGGGGATTCTAAACGTTGGAGCAAAACAGTGTCCTGGGCAGGCCCAGGGTGGCCTCTGGAGGTGTCTGGGAGGGAAAACGTTCCTCCCGGCCCTCCAGCGTTGGGATCATCACCCATGACCCCTTCCGGACCGGGCTGGTGGGCAAGGCTGTCACCGTAGCTCCAGGGCAGCTGACCCTCCAGGGGTTAGCCGAAAAGCCACGATGACAGGAGACCTAAAGACTCCTGCGCTGTCTTGTCATCTCTGGGCCGCAGTGGCCCAGCTCTGGGCTTCCCTGCTCTTGGCACACATGTGTGCCCACCACCCGGCAGGGAGGCCCCCACATGCTAGCCCCCTGGCTGGACAGCTGCCCCCGCCCAGCCCTCAGCCTCACAGTCTTCACCCCGTGCTGGCTGGCTGCTCCCGTGGGTCGCCCCAGGAGCCCCGCATGGCCAGGTCTTCCTGCTGGCCTGTGATGCGTGTGGCCGCTGGAAGCTGCCGTCCGTCTCCTCTGTCTGCTGTTAGCGCCGTGCGTCTGCTTTGGGTCGGGATCCTTCCTTCACTGGCAGGGTGACCAGGAGGCCTTCAGAGAGCTTGCAGAGCGAGGTAACAGCAGACTGACAGCGAGGCTGCTCCCCTGACCTGCTTTCTCCAAGGAGAGGGGACGAGAGTGACCGGCCTCCCCCACGTGACTCCAGGGCCGCACTCTGCTCCTGCGTCAGCAAGGTCCGGCCACGGCCTCTCCTGCCTGCTCGAGTTTGCGGTTTTGAGGGCAGGACTGGGTTCTCCGCCTTTAATCCTGGCACGGGGTTGGGCGCGAGACTATCGTCTGAATTAGCAAACAAACAATGAAGGCGGAAGCAACTGTCGGACCCCCTGTCCAAGTGCCCTCTGGAGCCCCCACCACTGCGATCTCTGGGGGAGGTTTGAAGTCACTGAAAACAAAATAGCCATAGAAAATGCCAGAAGGGGCTTATATCACCTTTGTTCTCCCAGCTCACCACGATAGCTTACAAACACGCACACACACAAGGGTAAAAATAATTGGATACACTGTACTCCCCCGGGAGGGGGGGCACAGCCTGGTTAAGGAGGGGCAGGCAGGAGGTCGGGTTACCATTGAAACCTGAGGGTGGCCCCTTAGGTGCTGTCAGCCGCCAGAGACAGGAGGTGAGGCTGTAAGGGGGGGCGGGCGCACGAAGCCACAGCGACTGGGGAGCTTCCCAGTAACTGGGAACTGTTGGGAGCAGAGAGCAGATGCGAGAAAAGTGGGAGGTAAAGTACCTGAGCGTTCATTTTTCTCCTGCGTGGGCCCCAGGAAAGATGCGGCGCATTTCCCGACAAAACGTGGCTGGCAATCACAGAAGGTCTGTTGCCTGGCTGGGCGATGGGGCACCGGCCGGGAACCTAATGGGTGGACATCCTTGGGGCATTCAGAAGACGCACAGTGGCTGAGCCCCTAGGCACCTGCCCCAGGGAAATACAGATACGTGCACACAAAAGCGGGCTTTCAGGAGAGGCTGAAGGAGAAAACAAGCCATTCAATCATCCGTAGGCGAATGAATACACGCAAAGGAGGGATATTCAGCCATAAAGAGGAATTTGGATACACAAACAAGGAAGGACCTTGAGAATATGCTGAGTGTGAGAAGCCAAGCACAGAAAAGCCTCAGGACACAGGATTTTCCCTGTATGCACCAAGTCAGATCTATGTGGGTGGGACAGAGGTTAGTGGCTGCCTGTGGCCGGGGGGCAGCGGTAGCTAACAGGCACAGAGTTTCTCTTTGGGGGTGATGCACATGTTTTAAGATGGGTGGGGTGACGGTGGCACAATCCTGTGACTGTGCCAACAGCCATCGGCCTGTGAGCAGGAAAGCCCAGAATTATATGGCGTGTGGATTCTATGCCAATAAAGATATTTAGAATTAAAAAAAGGGGGGGGGGTGCCTGGGTGGCTCAGTCGGTTGAGCATCGGACTTCGGCTCAGGTCACGATCTCACTGTTTGTGACTTCGAGCCCCACATCGGGCTGTGTTCTGACGACTCAGAGCCCGGAGCCTGCTTCGGGTTCTGTGTCTCCCTCTCTCTGCCCCTTCTCCACTCGTGCTTTGTCTCTCTCAAATAAATAAAGAAACATTTAAAATTGGGGCGCCTGGGTGGCGCAGTCGGTTAAGCGTCCGACTTCAGCCAGGTCACGATCTCCCGGTCCGTGAGTTCGAGCCCCGCGTCGGGCTCTGGGCTGATGGCTCGGAGCCTGGAGCCTGTTTCCGATTCTGTGTCTCCCTCTCTCTCTGCCCCTCCCCCGTTCATGCTCTGTGTCTCTCTGTCCCAAAAATAAATAAACATTGAAAAAAAAATTTTTTTTAAATAAAAATAAAATGGAAAGGAAAGGAAAAGGAAAGGGGATCGAGGTCTCCTAAAGTCTCTGTGGTAGCTGTGTGCGTGCTGGCGAAGGAAGGGGGGGTCTGGCTTCCCAGAGGTGCTCCTTGTCCCAAATGTCCACCTCTGCCTTTCTGCTGACTAACAGCCCTGCTTTGGTCCAGGGACGGCAGGTGCCCGGGAACAAACACTCCCGTGCCACGGGTCCTCTGGCAACCCCCTCGGTGCTCAGGTGACACATTCTGGCCGATGGGTTTTGGGAGAAAGTCACTGGCATACAGGGGTCCCTTCCCAAGTGAGAGACTAACCAGAATAAGGAAGGCTCTGGTTCTTGTGCTTTTTTTTTTTTCTGCACAAAACGTGGACGCGACACCAACTATCTTTCCATTGCTCATAACCTGTCCGCTCCGTGCTCTTGGAGGCGGGGGAGTCCTGGGGAAGGGAGAGGACAGGGTCTCCACTGCAGACCTCAGCACCCCTCCCTGCAGCTCTTGTGGGAGTAGCAATACCTCAAGGACCATGGTCTCATTTCCCACTCCCCAAAGCTGGGCCTGGCCCTACGGATCCCCCCTCCCCTTCCCCTGCCTGCACGCCCTAAGCTGTTGTATTTATGGCACCAAACAGAGGAAGCAGCGGCAGAGGTGGCTGGAGGAGGGGCACAGGGCCCTGGGGTCCCTTCCCGACTCCTTCGCGACAGGCCGTGCTGGGCAGGCTGGCGTGCCGGAGCAGTGGGACAGGAACTCGTGGATCACAGCTGTGAGCCTGCTGCATCCAGGAAGCTGGGGTCCTGGGCAGCACCAGGGACAAGTGTGAATAACTCCAACTGAAGTGACAAACGCTGTCCTGGTGAATGAGCGCTAACATTGGAACACCTAGGGCTCGCTCGCCGGACCACAGCCGTCCTGGACGGGCTGGGACTAGACTAAGAGGAGAGAACATGTCTCTGGGAGCTGGTGCCTCACTTGAGTGTCCAACCATGTTCTGACCTTGGGAGAAAGAGTCCTTTCCTCAGTACACTGGAGTCCTTGCCCCCGGGACCTCAGAATGTGACTGTATCTGGGGTTCTGGTCTTTAAAGAGGTGATGAAGGTAACAGGAGATCATAGGGTGTCAGGTGAAGGAGAGGAGGGGATGGGGACACAGACACATCCAGAGGGACGCCGTGTGAGGACACGGGGACAGGACGGCGGTCCACACGCCAGGGAGACAGGCCTGGGAGGAACCGAACTGCTGACGCCTTGATCTGGGCCCTCCAGCCTCCAGGACTGTGGGTGGGGAAACAAATGTCTGCTGTTCAAGCTCCCAGCTGGCGGTACTTGGTGCGGCAGACCTCACACGCCGATGCGGGGGGTATAGAGAAGCACTGAAGGGTCTCCAAAGGGGACCGCACCCAAAGCGAACATACCCCACAGAGTCAGAGGCCGTGAGCTCAGGGTTCCAGCAGAGACCACAGAGGAATCCAACGCCGAGTCCCCACCTGCACCCATGTGCCCCCAGCCCTGTCTAATGTGGTCCGGCTTTGCTTCCTGTCGGTCTAGGAAATTTGGAGCCATGAGTCAGGGCCCCTAAACCAGCCCCGGTGTTTGCAGCCCACCTGAGCCAAGCCAGGTCCCGGAGGGAGGTCCGCGATGGAATGAATCACCATGTCCCAAATCGAATGACCTTCCAGAGGACCGGGCAAGGGGTAAACGGAAAGGAAATCGCCCATCAATTGTTTGGAGAGCTGGGGGTGGGGGGCTTACAATGCCGATTCCAAAATAGCATTTGTGACACAAAATACCATTTGTGACATGTTTTCAACCCCATCAAAGAGGAGGGGTTCGGGGGGAACCGGGGGGGGGGGAGTAAAGAAGAGAATTCATGTGACGGAACCAGTCTGTTTTCACGCATCGTGTTTCTGACTATAAGGTAGCAGACAATTCCTTCAGAGAACTTGGAAAGGACGGCGAAGATCAGGGATGGAGGTAAGATTTCTCACGAACCCACCGAAGACGGCGATGTGTTTGGGTGCGATCCGCAATCTGGATAACCTGTGCACGTTCCCGTCACTGAGAATCATGGTGTGAGGACGTCTCTGCCTCGTGATGAAAATAATTCCTCCGAACACGGGCTCCGCATCTTCGCAACAGCCCGTCCGTGATGGAGCCACAGTAAATGCTTCGTCTGTTTATAGGAAGGAGGTTCCTCCTCCGTCTAGGTAAGAATGCCGTTAGCGTATTTGTGGTTGGAACTTCACGAGCACCTCTGATCTGTCTGGCAGGGCTGTTCCCAGAGCGGGAGTCGCTGAGCGGCGGATGCTGTCGGGCGCCTCACTCACACGGTCAGAGCACTGATTTGCCCAAGCAAACTCACGGTGTGTGACCCCACCGGGCACACTGTCTGCGGCCCCTCAGCGGACAGCACATTGACATCATGAGTGTGCCATGCACCCCTGCTGGCCGTCCTGCTCGCGACCATTGGGTCACGTGAGAAGGGAACAGGATATCTGATTTTTGGTAAACTGTTGTGGGTTTCCTTGGGCTGCCGTGACAAAGTACCAACACCCGCGTGGCTTAAAAGACAAGATTTTATCTCTCCTGGTTCTCGAGGCTGCAAGTCCGTCTATTCTCCCCTGGTTCTGGGGGCCGGAAGTCCAAGATCTGGCTGCTGACAGGGGCATGCTCTCTCCACGGGCTCCAGGGTACCATGCTTCTCGCGTCCTCCAGCTTCCGGTGGCTCCTGGCATTCCCTGGCTTGTGCATGTGTCACTCTAGTCCCTGTCCCGGTCTTCACTGGCTGTCTTCCCTCCGTGTGGTCTCTTCTTAGAGGGACACCAGTAACTGAATTAGAGCCCGCCCTAATCCATCATGACCTCATCTTAGCTTGATCCCATCAGCAAAGATCCTGTTTCCAAATCAGGTGCCATTCACAGGCACCAAGTGTCAAGGCTTCATCATATTTTTCAGGGGGGACACACGTCAACCCCGCAAAAGCTGTCTGGTGATCTCGCCAGCGCTCTAAAGGAAGAACTCGCTTTGCTGTGTCACCCAGACCTTAGCACAGCTGGGAGGTGCCAGCCAGAAAATCCCACCGCTGGCATCTGGACTGCAGGAGGCCAGCAGGAACTGGGGAAACCCGTCTTATTACCTCGCTAGTCCCCAGAAGGCATGCCTGTATTTAAATCCACTTAAAACCAAGCTACCACAAGCTTTCCAGATGATATCCAGAAGGGAGGGTCTGCTCTAAGGAGTAGATAAGAATGATGTGCACTGAACACATGAATTATGAGTATGTAAATGATGCTCCAGAAGGAGAGAAGGAGGAGGAGAGAGAGGAGGTGAGGGATTCCTTCCCCTTCCTGGGGCACTATGGGAATCCTGATCAGTGCATTCGCTGCTTTGGGGGACATTCGTCACAGACTACACAGGGGGAGCTGGTGCCTGTGCAAATAAAGAGGTGCTCTCAGGGAGGTCAAATGTATGCATTTCAACAACGCCAGCCTCCAGGCTTCTCTCTGAACCAGCCCAGGAATCTGATCTTCCCACCAAACCCATCCGCAGATCTAAGGGAAGTAAGGATAGACATCAGATGCTGACCTTGGTGCAGAGCCTGTCCTGCACATGCCCCCCGCGCCCCCCCCCGGGGAAACAGACCTCACAGAACGGCTGCATTTTGCCTGGACTTTATTGTGGGCCAGCTTTCTCTGCAGCAACATTTGCCCTGTTCAGGGAACTACAGGTGTCACACACACCGTGCCTTTTGTGAAACCGAGATGCACAGCCGGCAAGCACGTGGGTTTGGAATGGGCGGCCCTGGCCTCCCTTCTCTGCTCCCCAGAGACGTCTCTGGTCCGGGTTGGGTAAAAGTCACTCACCAGCAGCCTCCAAGCACATTTGGGACCCAAGCCATTTGCCACACGTTTAATTTGCAGCTGGAGCAGCCAATTCATAATTCAAATGTTACTGCCCTAAATTGCACACACATTTGAGCAGAGTGGAGATGGAGAGATTTGGGTGCTTTTAAAGAAAACCCATAAAGCCCCCATTTCTTTCCTATTCTAGTGAGTTCTGCTCTCCTGAGCAACTTTTCAGCTCCCTGAGAATAGCATGTTTTGAGCAAAAGGAGACTGCACAAATGAAAGAAGAAAATTAAATATGAAAATTTAATTAAATCCCTCTTTGATCATTCTTCCTAGAACTGATGGAGGGGCTGTTGCCACTTAGCCACAAATAAGATAACCTCGAAGGCTAATTAGAATAGGGGACTGGCCTCTGAGGTGGGAGGGAGACGCTTATCACCCGCTCAAATGGGCCATTCTGATGAAAGCGATACTCCGGTCTTCAATTACTTGCCATTTGTCCTTTGTCAAGTCTCATAGATATATAAAGTGTTCTTGGTGCCTCCTATAAGACCTTCCAGCTTTTGTAGGACTCCCCAGAAAGGGCTGGGTGCCGTCTACGGGGTGAAGGGCCTCAGCAGCTACATGGGAAGTTCTGCTCCGTATTTTCCAGGGCTGCGGGGGGGGGGTGGGGTGCGGGTGGGGGGACATAGCCTTTAAAACTAGCCCCACCCCTCCCATACCGGGGGAGCTGCATTCCTGAAGGGAGACAATGACACAGGTAAATGAAGGACCAACAAGTCAGGTGGGAACCGGAAGGCACCCCATGTGGGTTGGGACACTAATGTGGCCCCTGCACTCTGACATCCCATATGACGGTAGTCACCTTCCCAGTTAGATGGAGCTTAGGCCAGTGTAAAAAGTGGGTGTGCATCAGGGCGCTTGGGGGGCTCAGATGTTTCAGCACCTGGCTCTTGATTTCGGCTCAGGTCATGGTCTCACGGTTTGTGAGTTCGAGCCCCATGTTGGGCTCTGTGTTGATGGTGCAGAGCCTGCTTGGGAATTCTCTCTCTCTGCCCCTCCCCTCCTTGTGCTTTGTCCCTGTCTTTCCCTCTCAAAATAAATAAATAAACATGAAAAAAGTCTTAGCAGAAAGTGAATATGCCTCTGTATGCACACATGAACACAGGGGCAAACACAGAGACACATACATGTACACACATATGCACACACAAATAAGTACACACACATATGCACACACGGTAGAAGTCTGTGTCTGGAGAATATCTTCAGGAAGATACCAAAAATGGTTTGTGTGCTGTCCCAAAGTTAGAAGTTTGATGTGAGCCCTACATGTTGGGAAATATGCTAACTTAACAAACTTTGCTCTGGGATGAAAACACCCCCCCCCCCCCCCCCCCCCCTGCTACCCCCGGGGGCAGATAAAGGAAAAGACAGGAAGCTGAGTTCAGGGTCAAACACAGGAAAACATCCCTGATTCAGGCTGTGGCGGCGTGGAATTCCCGATGGCATAATTTATGCGGCGATCAAAGCCTTCCCTGGAACGATTTATGAGGAAGTATTTTGCTAAGCAAATCATGTTGCAAAGGATTTCAGGGGCATTGTTTGAATTATTAACAGAATCCATTGTTTCATGGCGTTTGGGGAAGAACATTTTCATACAACTAATAGGATATTACAAACTATTTTAAACAATTGCTTAAGGATCCTGTCTCCCCTCGCAATTTATTGAACCACGTCTTTGTTTAACTTGCTTGAAAAATTACATAATAATTTTTATTATATTTATATTATTATAAATAGATCTGTCTTCAATTCTTTGAAGTTAATTTTTCATTAACTTTGGACTGGTCTTCTCTCTTTGTAGCCCAAGAGGCAGAGAAGTGCTCCAGTGATCCCTCCATGCGCCAAACCACCCCAAAATTTGCGGCTTAAAACAAAGATTTAATGCTGGTTGTGATTCTCTGAGCTGACCAAGCAACATGGTGGCTAGGTTTGCCTGGGCTTACTTGTAAGGGTGGGCTCAGTTCTGGATCTTTTGGGGCCAGGATCAGCTGGGACAGCCCCATGTGGTCTTTTGTTCAGGCTTCTTCCTGGCATGGTGGTCTCAGGAAGCATTTCAAGACGGTGAAGGTAGAAGTTCCAAGGCATCTGAAGGCCAAGGATTCTATAATGGTTAATTTCATGTATGAACTTGACTGGGTCATGGAGTGTCCAGACAGCTGGTAAAACATTATTCCTGAGTGTGTCTCTGGGGATATTTCTGGGTGAAACTAGCATTTGAATGGGAAGAATGAGTCAAGCAGGTGGCACTCCTCAATGTGGGAGGGCATCACCCAATCCGTCGGAAGACTCAAATAGAACAAAATGGCGGAGGGACATTGGACTCTCTCTCTGCCTGACTCCTCGAGCTGGACATCAGTCTTCTGCCCTTGAAATGGAACTAGAGCTTCTCAGGCCCTCAGACATCATCTCTCTGTTTTCTCACTGCTTGTCCTGGGTTTCCAGCTTGCAGATGACAGATCATGGGACTTCTCAGCCATAATCACATGAGCCAGTTTCTCATAATAAATCCCTTTTTTCTTTCTTTCTTTCTTTCTTTCTTTCTTTCTTTCTTTCTTTCATTCTTTTTTTTCTTTCTTTCTTTCTATCACCTACCTACCTAACTACCTGTCTCCTACTGGTTCTGTTTCTAATACAGCTCCTAAACACACATGCCATTTCCACCAAACTCTATTGATTAAAGCAAGTCACAAGATCCCTCCCACCCCCAAACTCAGATTCAAAGAGAGTGGAAATAGACACCAACTCTTGATTGCAGGAGTGGTCTTACTAATCTACTATAAAATATTACTAAAGATTGTTGATTCCTGGGGTGGAATAAAAGAATTGTGGGGGTGTTATGCCCAGAATTCGTGATCCCCAAAGACCATTAGGGAGCCAAGTCCGATGCAAAAGCAAAGAGCCTTTATTCGAGCTAGCTCGAGCTCAATCCCCTACCTGCACCGACGCAGCGGTGAGATACCAGGGAAAGAGAGCGAGTTTCAAAAGGACAAAGGTTTTATTGGGGCCTGGGGGCAGTTGGTGAGGTAATGGCTATGGCCTCAGCCGATTGGCTGGGGAAGGGTCCTGGGGAAGGGTCCGAGTCCTGTTAGGCAGGTGAGGGGGGGTTACTCAAGGGGAGGAGGTGTGGTCAAGGTGAAGGACACAGAACAAGATGGAGTCGGCTGGCGTAGGCCCGCCCTTTCAGGGGGCATTTCCCTTTTCTGGAAGGCAGAAAATATATCAAAGGAAGTCATGCAGGCACCTCTTCAAGAGCAATAGGAAAAGAGATTTCAGATGAATTCTAATAAGCCAGAATGTGGACATTTGACAGAAGGATTCAAATACAATAATTTAAAGAAAAAAATTTAGGTCTTTTTGCAAGAAATGATCTTACATGTCAATTCTTATCTCAAATTCCCTCTGTGAATATTGTCAAATGACTACAGAGGACAGACACGTTGAGCACTTTCTGACATCTTCCTTAGCCACAAAGAACTCCATCCCTAATGCTCCCTCTTGGATCCACTGGTAACAAAGAAATTTGGCTGAGGTCAGGGGTGGGCTAATATACTGTATTAGTTTGCTGAGGCTGCTGTAACAAAGTACCACCAACAGGGTAGCTTAAACAACAGAAATGCATTCTTTCCCAGTCCTAGAGGCTGGAAGTCCAAGATCAAGATGTTGGTAGAGTTGGTTTCTCCTGAGGCTTCTCCTAGGTGTGCAGATGGCTGTCCTCTCCCCACAGGGGCCTCATATGGTCATCCTTCTGTGAGTGTCTGTGTCCTGATCTCTTCTTATAAGGACCCACCCATACGGCCTCATTTTAATTTGATGACCTCTGTAAAGACTCTGTCTCCTAACATGGTCACATTGTGAGGTACTGGTGGTTAGAGATTTAACATATGAACACACTCAACATCTAAATTTGGAAGGACACAGTTCAGCCCTCAACAGACACTATCTTCTCTGCTGGAAAAAGTAAATTAGTCAACCTTACCTTCTTCTTTCCTTAGAATTGAAAGGATGTTCACAGTCTGGGGGAGGACCCACAGGTGAGCAGATTGGTTCACAACCTTCCTAGTGATGACAGGGTAGGGGCTACAGCAGCAGTTAGGGTTCTGGTTGACAAGAAACAGACTTCTACCTCCACATTCGGTTTGTACAAAAGTGTTTTGAATTTTTATTTTTATTTGGATGGCTTCATCAAAGCAATAGGATTGACATGCATCCATTTAACTTGGAATAACTTAAAAGGAGTTCGTTAAGCGTCAGAACAGCATGGATGAGCACTAAAACGAACAGAGAATTGTTCTCTCTTTTTCCCTCCTGAACCAGGTCCTCATCACCACCGCTCACACTCTTTCATCCTCTGATATCAAAGACATTACAGGATGGAAAACCCTTTACAAACATTAATTAATTCTCACAATCCTCCTGTGAAGCATGAGGGATCATTTTTTTCTCTCTTTTAAAGAGGAGACCTGAAACCAACAGGCTAAATGACTAACCTGGATGGAAGTTGCCGGAAAGCTAGAAAATGGAATTTGGTTGAAAATTGGGTATAGAAAATTAATTTTGTGTTCCAAGAAGATGGGAAGAAGTACAAGTCTTAGTCCAAAGTGGACAGTTCATGGAAGCAATCAGGTGGAGCAAACAGAGCTCTCAAGATTTGGGGATCAAAGGGATTTGGGATCTGAGTTATCACAGGGAATCTGAAAGATAATCTAGTTGAAAGCTTTCTCATTATCAGCTTCCCAATCCTGCCCTGGGCCATCTGGCCAGAAAGGCACATCCTGATTCTACTCATGATTTAGACCCTCAAATCCAGGGGGTGATATTGGTCAGTGATGTTAAATATCATAGAGATAAGGGCAGATAGATTTTTGAGGGTTCGTTTTGGGGCATTTCAGACCCTAGCTCTCTGTGGGGTGAACGGTAAGCTTACAAGAAGCACGCTTGCTTTCCCCATGCTGATAAAATTCTGTGGCAACTGTGGATTGCAGTTCAGGCACCCTTCACCTCCATCTGAGGACCAGTGGATACGGCAGCCACTGTCACATCCTCCTCCAGACCAGACCGCTTCTGAGAGAGACTTAGATGCTCACAAGGTAGAGAAAGCCTAACTCAAAGTGGCTTAAACAAAAAAGTCAGTACATTGACTCATGCATCTTAAAAACCCATGGTGCCAGCTTCAAGTCTCAGTGATGTCACAAGAACACCTGAGCCAGCTTCAAGTCTCAGTGATGTCACAAGAACATCTGACCTGCTCATTTCCACTTCCCTCTGTCCTGAATTTTTTCTCAGACAACTTTGTTTCCCCTGTGCAGGAGCAATGTTTGATGGCTCTCCAGAACTTTCTAGCCTGGAGGCATTTTAGTACAAGGATGAAGAGCAGACATACTGGCCCTAAACCACTACTTGGAAACTGTCTGATTATGGACAAGTAGCTTCACTTCTCTGTGTCTCATTTTCTTCATCAGTGTAAGGGGATGATGAGAGCTATCTCCCTCATAGCATTGATAGCTGATTAAATCAGCTCATGTGCATTAAATACTCAGCATGGTGGCTTACCCTACATGAGAAAGTGCTCAGCGATGGCCAGCTATTATTATTACTGTTGATGCTGTTAGCTGATTCTTCAGAACTAGAAGCCCATTGGCCCATAAAACATAATGGGGATCAATGGTGAAACTCACATATTGTTCTGGCAAGGAATGAACATTTTCATCTTGAAAGGGCTAAGAATGTGGGTGCTAAGGCAGGCTGTGTTCCATCAGAGTGGCCCAAGCCTACAATTTCCTGCTCTGTGGCTATAGCTCCATCTGTTAAATGAGAATAATTGTACCTACTTTGTAAGGAGATTGATATTTAGAGAGTGACCAAATGTGAAAAGTTTAGAACAGCCCCTTGTCTATGACAAAACTCCAATAGTGTTACTAACAACAGTTTACAAGCTTTTCCATACATGTCGTTGGAGAAAACTAGTCATTCTTCTCTTGCTGGCACTGTGTTCATTTGCACATTCCTGGCTGTGGACCTCCCATGAGTCCAGTCCCGTGCTGAATGCTAAGCCCACTAGGGGCAAGGTAAAAAAGACATATTCCCTGCCCTCCAGAATAACAAAACTCACAAATGCTGAGCACTTAATGCATTATGGGCACCATTCAAGTTCTTTACATCAATGGCATTTCATCTCTTTGATCACGATTTTCATTTCCAGCATTTCCATTTGGACCTTACTTATACTTTACTTCTCTCTGCTGAAATTCCCCACGCATTTATGCATGTTGTCTACCTTTTCATTAGATTTCCTAATATATTAACTATAGTTATTTTAAAGGCCCTGTCTGATAGCTGCAAACCATAGGTCACTTCTGGGTCTCGTTCTATTACTCTTCTGTCTCTTGACAATGGGGTGTTTTATTCTTGCTTTTTTGTGTGTCTCACAATTTTTTTTAAATTAAATTACAGAAACTGTGTGTAGAGAAACAGTGGACAGTGAAGTAAATAGTATTTTACTCTCAGAAGTGAGATTTACTTTTTTCCTGTAAGGCCATAGATGTAAGAGATTGAGGCAACCTGGTCAAGAGTTGAGTTGGGTTTTATTGTTGCTATGGTTACCTTTAGTGAGCCTGAGAGCCCAAACTCCTCCTTTTGTGGGCTACTATTACCTTGTGCCCCATCTCAGCCTCCAGTGATTTCTCCCTGCCTGTATCATGGAGGAGGCACCCTTCCCACGCTCTGTCCTCTCTCTGTGGCACACTGCCATTTCTTGTTGCCTGTTCAAGATGATGGTGTGGGTATGGACTGGCTGTTCCTTCTTCTCCAGTCTTAGGCAGGCACTGTGAGGCTGGGCCTGGGGGCAAGGGAGGGGGTTCCTATACCCCTTGATCCTCCTCCCTCCATAGCATACCCTCTGCCTTGTACCTGTGTGGGGGGGTCTTGGGTAGGAGAGCATCTCCCATCTATCCCCCAGGGATGGCAGACCTCTGTTGTATACCAGTTTAGGATCTTGGGTCCTACCTAAAGTCTTTTCTGCCCTTCCCTCTTGGATGCATAGCTTTTTTTCTACCCTCTGCATTGATCTACCTTGACTGGGACTGGAGCTGAGGGTTCCTGCTCCCACAGCTCCAGAAGATGAGGGCTTTGTCTCATAAGAGTGAAGGGGATGCCTGGATACCACCAAGGTGGGCATCTCTCCTGGTCTCTTCTTGTCTCCATGACCTTCACAGTGGAAGACCAAGGCAAAGGTCTTGAGAGTTAATATGGATGCTCCTCGTCTCTGGGCTCCCAGATTTTATACTAATCATGCTAGCTCACACTCACTTTTAAGGATTTATTAAAATTTTAGCTATCTTCTTCCCAATCAATTTTATGGTGACCAACCTCTCTTTCTGCATGTTGCCAAGATTAAACAGTTCATGGGCCCCATCTCTTTTCTGTCACCTTTTGGAATGTAGTTCACCTGGTTGCCTTGCCACCTCAGCTCTCTCATAGTTTCAAGAAAGATAGGTTATTATTTGGTTAGATTACCTGGATCTTCCTGCTTTTCAGTGGGGGAATCAATGCTCTCACACAGCTTTGTCTTTCCTAATCAAAGGCAGAACTTTTCACAGCTAAATACAAATCTATAAGGTCAACAAATCTTTGAGGTCACTATTCTCATGACTCCCATTATACAGATGGAGAATTGGAGTCACTGAGATGTTCAATTACTTGCCCAAGGTAGCCAGGATCTGATGGGGGACCCCAGACAGGCTGGCTCTGGAGGGCACACATCACTGAACACTACACTGTGCTGCTTCTTTGGGGGCATGAAAACAGCCAGAGAGACTTAACAAGCTTCACTTGTTTAGTCAAGTGCCAAGTATGGTTAAAGACAAAGAATTAAATGCAACCCTAGGAAAGAAGCAATGAATCCACCAAAATACAAGTATTCATGTGTATATGGGTCCAAGCTGAGCAGGGAGTTAAAATACTCTCAGCCATGTGTTTGAGTCACATCACCATCCCTGAGTAGCTGAGTGACACTGGAAAAGTTAATTAACCCTTTAAAGCTCTTGTCATGTCATTTCTGTAGTGGACAGAGCATCATTACCTCTATCCTAGAGTTGATTAACTTCTCAGGAAGCCTGGGGAACATCAAGGACCCAGCAGGTGAGTGTGGCTGTGCTTGTTGAATGCAGGTGCATGATGAGAATATTACCCTTCAGGCCAAAGATAAACACAAAGATGCTGAACTATCTCCAGATGTAACAGACTCACTCCAATGATGCCTGTATGCTTGCTGCACTGATAGCTCATGATGAATATGGCGAATATTCATGCAACAATTATTACTTGAGCGTCTGCTATATCCCCGTGGCTGAAAGGCTTGGGGATATAACAGTGAAAAAGGCAGAAATGGCCTCTCCCTATGAAGCATACATTCCAGCAGGGGAAACAGATGATAAACAGATCAACACATAAATTAGAAAATACCAAGAGTTACTAAGAAAACAGAAGAAGATTCCATAGACTGGATACTTGTGTTTCTCCCCAAATTCATATGTTGAAATCCTAATGCTGGATACAATGATGCTAGGTGGTGGGGCCTTTGGGAGGTGATTGGGTCGTGAGAGTGGAGCCCTATGGATGGGATTAGTGCCCTCGTCGGAGACCCCAGAGAGCTCCCTTTGCCATCCCACCATGTGAGAACACAGCAAGAAGATAGCTGTCTACGAGCCAGGAAGCGGGTTTTTACCAGACACCAGATCTGATGGCACCCTGATCTTGGACTTCTAGCCTCTGGACCTGTGAGCAAGAAATGTCTACATGAGCCCCTGGTCCGTGGCAGGGTGTGACAGCAGCCTGAATGGACTGAGATGAGGTGAGGAGGTGGGGAGTGGAGTTGGGGCAGTGGTGAAGGTACATCTCCGTAGGAGTTCCAGGAAAGCCCATGTAAGGAGGTGGTTGAGCTGAGCCTTGGGTGAAGAAGGACGCATCTCTGCCCCCCTAGTGCCACCTTGCCTGTCACAGTGACTGGCTTGCTGTCTATCATGCCCCACGTCCATTTTCTCCTCTTGATCTCTGCACTTGCTGTTTTCTCTGTCTGGGTTTCTGGTTCCTACAGCTGCCTGCCTGCCTCCTTCTTGTCACTCAGGACTTGGTGTCATCTCCCGCACAAACCTTCCGTGACCTCCCGACCCAACCGTCTTTCCTCACAGCCCAGATAGCCTCTGTCACCTCTTCTGCTTTATTATTTCACAGCACTTCTCACTCTCTGCATCTACCCTGCCCGCAGATTGATTTACTTGTTCATTGTCCATCTGCCCCCTAGCTCTGAGGACACATGGGAGATGGACTTTGTCTGGCCATGTACCACTGAACCCAGAGCTGAGCTTGGAGCATCCCCCGTTGGGAGATCTTGACCAGACACATGACCCTGCACACACTGCACATGTGGAGTTGCCAGCAGGCATGGCTCGCAGAGGCTGAACTCAAGCAGATCTGCTTCTGATGGCCTGGGAGGGGGCAGCGATTGGACCAGTCTGGAACATCAGACCACCAGTCATGTTCTCTGTCTGCCAGCGGGCAGTGAGCTCAGTGTGAGCGGGGAGGGGGAATGCTCTGAGGAGCCTGCCATTAAGAGTGACAACAAAGGACCAGCAGAGCCAGACCTCAGTGGGTGTCAGCTCCCTGCCCCCACCCCAGCCAGGCAGGAGCAAAGTGCCCCGATTCCCCCCAAGGTACCAAGTCCCACGGGCAGGAGCTGACTGCTGTTGAATATGACGATGTGAGACTATCTTTGCACAGACTGGAAAATGACAGTCAAGACCACAGCACTTGGTGGCCCATTACACAAAGCTGATCCAGATTAAAGCCTGCCAACAGTTCCCGGAGGTGTCATGTGACTGAGAAGGCAGTTCCCATTGGTTCTGGAGGTGTCACGTGACTGAGAAGGCAGTTCCCATTGGTTCTGGAGGTGTCATGTGACCCAGAAGGCACTTCCCACTGGTTCCCAGAGCTGTCATGTGACTGAGAAGATGGCGCCTCTTGGGTTCTAGGGTCTGTGAGGACGGCGGCCCCACTTGCTGAGCCTCAGAGGTGGGGATGTACTGACTGACCCCTGGCGGTGGTTAGGGGTGTGTTTCTGATTGGGCTCAGTCCTGGGATTCACTGCGAGCCTTGATAACAAGCTACTCAGCCGGTACTCGGACCGTTGCCCGCCTGTGTACCACGTGGCTGGTGTTTGCGTCCCTTATGCTGAGGCAACCGCAGGGAACAGCTTTGGCACACCCGCCACTCGAGGGCCTCATACGCCCACCAGAGCCTTCGTCGTCTTCCAGTCTTGTGTCCACGATAAAATGTCAAAAGAAAAAAAGGAAGCCGATGTCTGATATTACTACTTTGAACTTTCTTAGCTACAGTCTCTGGAAGCATGACATTTACGGGGAAAAAGGATCAGAAGGAGGGGGTAACCCTGAGCGTATTGTTCATCATCTTTATCTCTGGGATTTCCGCTTTAATCTTCTGAGCGCCCTTGCACACCAGGAGTCTGGGCCCCGCCTGTGGTTGTCGGTCGCTGCATAACAATCCACTCTGCAACCAGAGAGGCTCAGAATCTTGTTCCTCAGACTTTTCTGGAAGACTTCAGCTGGGGGTCTGTCTCCGGTCCACAGGAGTGGCCAGAGCCCTGGTGGGGCCAAAGCCCTGAGGTTTGATCTCACTCCACCGTGACTGCGTCCAACAGGCGGCTTGGGCTTCCTGCAATACAACAGAGCCGGGGCGGTCAGCTTGATTGCAAGGTGACTGGCTTCCCTCCCAGCCGGAGTCCCAGAGCGACTCTTGTGCACAGCCAGGCAGCTGCTTAGAAGGCAGAATACCCCTTGTGCTGCCTTGGACTGGTCAGGACCAAAGGGCAGGAGCTAGATCCAGCCCTCCGTGAGACTGTGGCCAAGACCGGCAGACACCTTTAATCCGCCACAGTGGGAGGACTCCTTTCCACTGCAGGGGACAGTGCCCTGGGAAGGCAGCTTCCGGTGGCCCCCTCGGCACCACGGGGAATGTAGCCCACTCTGGTTGAGGGCAGAGATGCCACTGCCCTCTTGTGCCACCTCTTGGTCATATGCCACCTCCAAGAAGGATTGGGTGCTGTCTTCTCTGTTACGTGCCCCTCCCACCTGTAACAGGTATTCTCCACCTGTGAGAGATGGAGAATCTCTCACCTGTGGAGAGATTCTCCACCAGGATGAGCGTGGAGAATCGGTGGCATCTCTGAGACCCAGTGCACCTACAGCCTCCTCTGTGGTCAGCACACGCCTGTGACAATGTGACAGTCCTTTTGCCGCCTTGGGATATACTGAGAGCTCATCCGTTAGCCGGTCTGCTGCTACTTCTCCCCGGAATTCACCGTAGGAAACTGTCTCCATCTGGACGCCCCGTGGTCCCCTCTGCTCACACCCTGCACTCAGCAGGTGTGGATTTGGCCCAGTCTGAGCAGCTGACCTGCAGACACAGCACGAATGCCCAACAGCAGCCTGGGAGGTGAGACACAGCCACCATCGCCCCAGAGATGCATGCCACCAGTGCAGTGGGAGGCAGTGGGGACATCCGGGGACTCAGGTGGGACAACTTAGGAGCTCCTTCTGCCCCAGTGCTTTTCTCTGACCTTCAGTGAGCTCCTAACTGTGCTCCCTCTGGGCCCCCGGCTCTATACCTGATGAGGTTTTGGAGTGGTGGGGGTTCCGAGCTGACGGCCAAGAAGGAATTCTGGAGATGTCTTTGGTGCAAAGAAGGTGATTTTTTTGGAGCACGGGGACAGGACCCGTGGGCAGGAAGAGGGGCCCTGGGGTTCTGAACACTGACTGGTTATATACTAAGGAGTTGGGGGAGGTAAAGACCACAGGGAGGCCTCCAGAGGGACAGTGATGTGCTAACCAGGACTCCTAAGATACCCGAGGCCTTGCTGTCCTCAGGCTGAGGCTGTTTTCCCTCTGGTGAGACACTGACATTAGGACGGTGGGGGGTCCTGGAGAAACGTTCTGCTCTGCATTTGCCTCAAGGATCTGCCAATGGGCTGCAGGTCATAAGGAAACTTAATGTCACCTGCCACTTCCTTCTCACCTCTGTTCCCACGTCACCATGGAGGGGAGGGTGATGTTGGGGCTCCAGGGAACTGAGCCTACAGGTTTCTGGAGATCAGGCTATTGGCAAGATAGCCTTTTTCTTGGAATTTGCTGAGATATTTATAAACTGATGGAAACTCATGTCCTGCAGGCCTGTGATCTCTCTCAGCTACCATTGGATTTCTGTCCTCTCCTTTGTCCTCGGGTGGCCGGGAGAGCCTGAGGAATGTCACACATATCCCACCCAAGGCAAGAGGGGGTTTGAGGGGGTCTCGGCTGACCTTAATCAGCCCTCGTCATAAATTTAGGAGGTAAGTGTTCCTTCAGAACATCTCGAGAGGTCGAATTTGAGGTTGTTTTCCATCTACCAGTAAGACCAGGCCAGCCCCTCCACACCCCTCCCCCTCCCCCAAGGAGACCCTGGAACCTGCAAGAGGCTACAGCCTGACCCGGATGTCACCTGTGTCCCTGGAAGCACAAGGTAATATGACTGGAACAAGTGAGCATCCTTTAGCTGATGCGGACACTTTCGGTCCCCCCTCCCTCTATTCTTTGGCACATGCTCCTTGCAAAGCCTGTGAAAGTAAACCCGCGAAACAGAGAGGGGAAGGAGAACCAGGAAGTGGGGTGTCTAAAGGTTTGGGACTCCACAGTAGGGTGGGGGGCGGGCTCATATATATTCCCAATAGGTTGTAAACCTGTTAACTGGACAGCACAGCTTTCATTTGGTATTTCTGAAAATGAATCATCTCCCTTACCTCTCAGTCTACATTCCTTTTCCTTCTTCAAATCCGTACCCCACAGAAGAAGCCCATCCCTCGCCGGCGCCGGGTAGGGCCGTTTCCCTGTCCGTTGGGGTGCAGCCATTTGATCTATATAAGTGAATCCAATTTAGCTGATTCATCTCTCGTGTTTAATTTTTATGTTAACATAACAAGGTTATACAGCTGAACAGGAGAGAGGCCGGGGACGGAATTCATAAGTGCCAGCTTCAGTTTAAAAAAAAAAAAAAAAAAGAAAAAAAGTTCCTGGAGGAAACAGGTTGAGAAGGCAAGTCCTCAGACAAAGGTTTTCTCTTAGGAGCTCCGAAAGCTTTCAGCTTGATTTAAATATAGAATCAAAGCTATTGGCATTTAACAACCTGTGTGTAAAAGTCAGGATTGACTTGTAAATAAGGCCCCGGCTGGAGCAGAAGGATTTCCGAAATAAATACATCATTGGGCTTTATGGATGGGTAGAAAGGGAGGCGTGCGTGTAGTCAAACCTGGGAGGACAGAGCGATTTTTGTGTTGAGTGGATTTTCTAGAATTCGCCGTGCTGTTCGTGTGAGTCTCCAGGAGGGAATGCTCATTTGCTGCTCTAAGAGGTCATTTGTGGGTCTTCTCAGGCCAGACTCACCTGCTATTTTGCATCCCTCTTCCCACTCGCAGGGATGGTGGCCGCCCA